AGATGGCTCAGTGGTCTAAAGCACCTACTTAGAACAAGCTCAGCAAAGCACAGGGATCACGGTTCAATCCCCCAGCACCACATGCCAGCCAGCCCGCCCCCTGGTGGGCTGGGCTGGCCACACACACACACACACACACATAAATAAATAAAATTAAAAAAAAAAAACAACAATGATAGGCCACAACAAAACTAAAAATTAAGGAAAGAACTCAATGTGCTGCCTATCTGTGTATTACCAGGTTGGGACATGGCCTTCACTTCACAAACACCCAGGAGAAAAGCAAAAACTGAAAGTCTTCAAGAAACTTGCTTGCCTCTGGCAAAGAGGGAATGGCTGGGGCCAGGGAGATGGCTCAATAGAATAAGCGTTTGCCTGGCAAGCACAAGGACCTGAGTTCAATCCCCGGTTCCGCAAAAAAAAAAAAAAAAAAAAAAACCAACAACAAAAACAAGAAGGAATGGCCTCTAGGGTCTTTCACATCTATCTAATAGTGAAACCCAATTACACTACCTCAGAGACAGCATCACTAGATCTGTTCACAAGAACAATCTCATTCAGGAATGGGGATGTAGCTCAAAAAATCCAGGTTTGCTCCCAAGCACCAGTAAGGAAAAAAAGAAACAAACGTCAGCCAACTGCAGCAGCACATGTCTGTAATCCTAACACTCAGACTATATGCACCCACCACCAATCCTAGCTTTCCTTTTTTAACCAGTTTCCTTTTAGAGACTAAGGGAGAAGGATTTACGAGTTTATAGCCAGGCTGGTCATATACTAAGTTTAGGGCCTGCACTGTGCAAAGAGAACTTATTTCAAAAACAACAAATAAGCAACAACAAACAAAGAACACTCCCATTTAAACATATATACAGATAAAAAAGTTTGGCCACTGTGAAGTAAATTCTAAACTCTAAGTTGTATGATGGAGCCAGGGAGATAGCTCAATAGAATAAGCACCTGCCTGGCAAGCACAGGGTCCTGAGTTTAATCCCCAGCATCTCTAAAAAAAAAAAAAAAAAAAAAAAAAGTTGTATGATGGCTAATGTCCAAAGTCTTAGATATCAAGAAATGGGATATCGTGTGGAGAATAGTATCAAGGGGACTATATTACCCTTACTGTGTTCTCAAAGATGAGAGAGTTCAATGCAGACTCACCTTTTTGTATGTTGTCTCTCCTGAAGAGTCAACACTTCGGTGGCCAATTTTCTTGATGGTCATACTAGTGGCACAAGGCATCTAGAAGAGAAGAATCCAGATCAGTAAGTAATACAACAGTTATACTGTAGTTATGAAAAATCACAAGTCACAATGGTAGCACTCTGCAGGGATGAGGCAGGAGGACTGCAAATCTGAGGCTAACCTGGGCAACTTAAGAGATCCTGCCTCAAAATAAAACATGGGCTGCAGATGTAGCTTAGTGCAGAAGTCCTGAGTTTAATGCCCAATAGTGAAATAAAAGAACCCAATACACCCTTTCTGAATTGAGAACATTTTATAAAATGTTCAGAAAGGCCAGGGATATAGTTCAGTGGCATAAGCACCTGTCTGGCAAGCACAAGGTCCCAAGTTTGATCCCTGGTACTGAAAGCAAAACAACACAAAAAAATCTTCGGAAGGCCTACCCCATGCTAATGCGCAAGTATCACGTTTATTTACTGAGACACATTTCACTGCATTGCCCAGGCTAGAGCTTTCCTTTCTTTACCAGTTTCCTTTCAGAAATAACTAAGCATCCACCCCATCCCAATACTATTTTCTCAAACTGAATTGAAAGGTGGGAATAATCTGGCCCATGGCAAAACGATGGCATGTGTGCTACAGAGGGCACATGAAGTCCTCCATAAGCCTACAAGCCAGGTATGAGTTGTTTTTTCAAAACGAAAACCCCTAGACCTAAGCATAGAGAAACTGAAAATTTCACAAATATCCTGCTATTCCTGGAATAAAGGATGTAGTACTATTACGAAACTCACCTCAGATGCCATAGGTCTCTTGATTCCAGTTGCTGCTCCTTTAGAGGAAAAAAAAAAATTCATTATGTACACACCACTCAGACTCGCCATCAAACACAGCGAAGAATCTAGATATGAAGCCAGATGTGATGGCACATGTCTATAATCTCAGCACCGGGACTAAAGCAGGAAGATAACAAGTTCAAGATCAGACTGAATTATATAATGAAAACCTGTCTTAAAAAAAAGAATCAAGGGGCTGGCGAGATGGCTCAGTGGTCTAAAGCACCCACTTGGAACAAGCTTGGCAAAGCACAGGGACCGCAGTTCAATCCCCCAGCACCACATGCCAGCCAGCCCCGCCCCCTGGTGGGCTGAGCTGGACGGACACACACACACACACACACACACACAAAATAAATAAATGTTAAAAAAAAAAAAAAGAAAGAATCAAGGTTTGAGTCAAACTAAACATGAAGTGCCAGTGAAATAGCTCAGTGGACAAAGTGCCTGCTTAGGCAAGCACAGGGACTGGGGTTTGATCCCCAGCACCATATGCTAGCCCAGCTTCTAAGCATGGTGGCACATGCCTGTAATCCCAGGGCTGGGGAGGCTGAGAACAGGACAATCACTACGAGTCCAAGTTGCATAGTGTGACCCTGTACAAAATACACAAATTAAAAAAAAAAAAAAAAAGAAACTAAACATGACCAGAAGTTCCAGCCACTTACTCAGTGATTCTAGATCCTTTTGGATCATAGTTTTTCTTTTTAAGTTTTTATTTTTAAAAGCAGGCGCTTTATTTTTTTATTTTTTTTTATTATTTTATTTTGTGTGTGTGTGTGTGTGTGTGTGTGTGTGTG